AGTTAAAAATAAAACTACTCTTTGACCCAGCAGTTGCACTACTAGGTATTTATCTAAAGGATACAAACAATGATCCCAAAGGGGCACATTTCATCCCAGTGTTCGTATCATCAGTATCCACAGTAGCCAAAATACAGAAAGAGCCCAGAAGTCCATCAACAGGTGAATGGATAAATAAAATGTGGTGTGTTTATGTGTGTGTGTGTGTGCATGCAGTGTGCACGCATGCGCGCGCGCACACACACACACGATGGAATATTACTCAGCCATCAGAATGAATGACATCTCTTTTTTTTTTTAAGATTTCATTTCTTTATTTGAGAGAGAGAAAGAGATCACAACTGGGCAGAGAAGCAGGCAGAGAGAGAGGGGAAGCAGGCTCCCCACTGAGCAGAGAGCCTGATGTGGGGCTGGATCCCAGGACCCTGGGATTATGATCTGAGCTGAAGGTAGAGGCCTAACCCATTGAGCCACCCAGGCACCCCAGAAAGAATGACATCTTGCCATTTGCAACAACATGGCTAGAATTAGAGGGTATTATGCTAAGTGAAACAAATCAGAGAAAGACAAAGACCATATGATTTCACTCGATATGGAATTTTAAGAAACAAAACAGATGAACATAGGGGGAGGGAAGGAAAAATAAAATAAGAAGAGAGACAAAACATAAGAGATTCCTACTATAGAGAACAAACTGAGGGGTGATTAAGGGGAGGTGGGCGGAGAATGGGCTAACTGGGTGATGGGTATTAAGGAGGGCATTGGTGATGGGTGCTGAGTATTACATGAACTGATGAATCACTTAATTGTACTCCTGAACTTAATACTATACTATATGGGAACTAACTTGAATTTAAATAAAATCTTGAAAAAATAAATTCAGTAATGAAAATATGCATAGGGTTAAGAAGTAGTACAGAAGATGTGGCTTACTCTCAGAATTGGCTTTACAAAGACATTTCACACCAGTTGAGATCTAAAGAATGAATAGTTTGGTAGGATGGAAACGGGATTAGGGTGATAAAAACGTTTTGGAAATAAAGGCTATGGTTGTAAAACATTCTGAATGTAATTAATGCCACTGAATTGTGACCTTAAAAATGCTTAAAAGGACCAATTTTATGTTTTGTACATTTTACCATTTTAAAAAAAAAAGAATTTTTTAAAGTCATAACTGGAATGAGAGCATTAGGAGAAGTTCACGCTGTGCAAGGGTTATTTTCTCTGGTAGGTACTCTGTGATTTGAAATGATGAAATAAACATTAAAAGCAACCAAAAGTATCCAAATTTTAGGCTATTAAGTACATGTGTAATGTACTGCTATTAAAACACAATTCTGTGTTTACCTCTGAGAAGTAAATAGCAAATTATTCAATTAGTTCATTTTTTAAGTTTGTTTTACCACAGTATCTAGCAGTGGGCCTGGCAAAACGGAATACACACTAAGTAGATAGCGAATATGAACACTGTGTGAAGGGAACACCACGGCCGTACCACTACACTGATGACTTCCTGATAGGAGAGGCCTGGACAGGAGTGGACTAAGTGGAAGGGAGCTCCAGGGACAGTGTGCCTCTCCACACACCAGAGTGAGCACCAAAAATCTTAACTTCCATACTTGATGGAAAGCAGTAAAGTTTAAGGAACAGGAATTTACTGCCATGGCTATTAAAACCATTGGAAACCTGACAGCTTTTTAACTTGGGAGTGATTTTACTATTCTCAATTCTTGCTAAACTTCTTTTGCCCTTATCTTATTTTTTCTTCCCTGTTTGACTCTGCTGATACTTCTTGATAGGCTTTTCTATAAAATAGTGTAACAGTGTTCCATCTAAAATAGCAGGATGTCTGAACGTTATTATATAGAGTACAAGTATGGAATTTAAGATACAAGTAGTTTTGGGTGCGTGGCTGGCTGAGTTAGGGGAACATGGGACTCTGGGTTCAAGCCCTGCATTGGATGCAGAGATTACTTAAAAGTAAAATGTTAAAAAAGATTTTTTTAAGATGAAAGCTTTAAAAGTGGCAACTCTCGCTGAATTAGAAATTAAATGATACCTCTATTATGTGATGGGTATCATTCTAATGTCCTGTTAATTGAAAACAAAAGATAAAGTTGGAAGGATTAAATTAAAATTAAATTAGAAGCCTTTAGAAAATAATTATTACTACCTACATTCAAGGAATCCTAGTAGGGTTTTACATAGTTAAACAGTACAAATAGCCCATGTAAGACTTTAAACAGATACATAAAAATAACAGAATTTAAAAATAGTTCCTTTCAACTAGTGAATGATAAACTGATACATCCACGTAATTAAATATTACTCAGCAATAAAAAGGAGTGAATTACTGGGCTGTCCAATGACCTGGATGGATCTCAGAAGCATCATTATTCTAGGTGAAAGAAACCAAATTCAGAAGACTACATACTGTATGATTCCATGCATCTTGATAACAAGAGTTAATGTGTAACCCTGGGGAGTAGATAGAAGAATGGTTTTTGAAGATGACTTGTTGGTGGCAAGGAAGCTCAGCGATTGGAATGGCATTATTGAATTGAACAGAAGGACAGTGGAATTTTGAATGACATGGGTTTAACCTCTATTGGTTTTCTGAGGAGAGTGGTCCTGGTACCTCTGAAAACACTAAAGAACAGCCCACACTCCCCAGTGATCATTTCCAGCAGATGCAGTCTCAGTCCGTCTGCCTCAAGCTCAGCGCACAAGGATCGCGGTCCCTAAAGCCGTAGTCATTGCCTGCTCTTCGGCCTGCCATTGAGTAGATGGACATTTAAGTTTTTAATGAATGAACTGAAATTGTCTGCTGAGGGGGCGCCTGGGTGGCTCAGTGGTTAAAGCCTCTGCCTTCGGCTCAGGTCATGATGCCAGGGTCCTGGGATCGAGCCCCGCATCGGGCTCTGCTCAGCAGGGAGCCTGCTTCCTCCTCTCTCTCTGCCTCCCTCTCTGCCTACTTGTGATCTCTGTCAAATAAATAAATAAAATCTTTTAAAAAACAAAAAAGAAATGAAATTGTCTGCTAGGTGTCAGGGAAGCTTCACTTCTCACAGTGTTAACTTGCACTGTGATGTGTTCTTAGTTTAGGATTCTGATCGTTGTTGTATCCTCTGCCATGCTACTTTAAGTTGAGGAGTGATAGAACTCTATTACTGTGGCATTTAGCTGTTTTACTAAGATGCACACTGAAAATTAAGTCTATTGGATCTAATAAAGAGAAGTATGAAGTATAATGCTAGCATGTGTGCTGCTGTGTCGTCATTCTGCTTCTGATACAGATTTCCCTCTTACTGAGTCTAGACAAGGGACACCTACTGCCAGTCAGGCGGCAGATGACGTGAACCCAGGACTCCCTGGGTATCTCAGGCCTGCGGCCAGTCACAGGCCAGCTGTGTGCAGTCTTCTAGGTCTCAGAGACCATCCCAACTTACGCCTATCTCAGCCACAAAGGGACTTCATGAAAAGAACTAAAGACCTGAAATACGGTGGACCTATCAATAAATGGGCCCCCATTGACAAGAGTTGTCTTTTGAAAGAATAGCTTTTCTCATGAAAGTCACAAACATGGAAACAGGAACCACATTCTTTTGAAGAGTTGTAGTTAGAGAGCAATGGAGATCGCACTTCAGGGGAAGGTGGAGGTTAGATTGGAGATGGCAGCAAACAACCCACCCAAAAATGGAGAATAGAGCAAGCAATGAAGACATGTGACAAAATAGTTTCTCTGAGAATCCACACAGCCCTTTGTATCTCTGTTAGCCCGGAGGTATCATAAAGCTACACATTGAGGTTGAATGCCATAGGCATATGATAACTTTGGCTTTTGGACTTTTTAGAAGGAGTAAGTTCTAGCAGTTTGTAGCTTTTCAAGATTGAATGGCTGTGCTAATACCAAGTGAGGTTTATCCCAGCAGTGTAAGGCTAGTTATGTGCTTTTATTCTGCTACAGTTTAGCAGTATTTGTCTGCATGTTTTACTCTTCTTTCCTCCTGAAGTCTTCAAAATAAGTTACTGTTTATAATAAATGCTTGGAAATACGAAGTTTGCCTACTTCATTTAGATTATATCTGCATTATAATGAATGCGATAATTTGAAATTGTATTGTTGATAAAGTTGCAGTTAAATTTGTTGAATTATCTGGTTATGTTTGACTTGTGAATGGAGAGCTAGTTTTAATTGTTTGGTAGAACCACAGTTCTGTTAGGTTTTATATAGAATCTATAGTAACCACTAAGCAAGGATAATATCTTTTAAAAATAACTTTGTTCATTTTAGTAGTTTTGAGAAGAATATCCAAAGCAATCAAAGAAGTTAAAATAATTTCCATAATAGGAAAAGAGATCTTAATGAGGTCAGTGAGCTTTCACAGTACACTTTTTTTTCCCCACAGTATACTTTTTTTTTTAAAGATTTTATTTATTTATTTGAAACAGAGAGATTGAGATCACAAGTATGCAGAGAGGCAGGCATAGAGAGAGAGAGGAGAAAGCAGGCTCCCCACTGAGCAGAGAGCGTGATGCGGGCCTCGATCCCAGGACCCTGAGATCATGACCTGAGCCGAAGGCAGAGGCTTAACCCACTGAGCCACCCAGGCGTCCTCCCATAGTATACTTTTTTTAAGCTATAGTATATAAAAGAAATTCACTTTAAGGGAACTTCTTGTCTTCAAATCATTTTTTCAATTTACTACATTGTTAAGCTCTCCTTGTTGAGTACATTTCAGCCTTTTTAAAATACAATTTTTGCCTTCATATTTACAAAATAGAATTTCACTTTAAGAGTTCTGCACTGTGGGGGGGGCGTTATGGACATTGGGTAGGGTATGTGCTATGGTGAGTGCTGTGAAGTTTGTAAACGTGGAGATTCACAGACCTGTACCCCTGGGGGAAAAAAAAATATATATATATGTTTATAAAAAATAAAGTTATTAAAAAAAAAAAAAAGAGTTCTGCACTGTATTTTCTTGACTTACATTTTGCAGGATGGAGGTTTGCTTCTGAATAACCCTTCGGCACTAGCAATGCACGAGTGTAAGTGTCTTTGGCCCGACGTCCCGTTGGAGTGCATAGTGTCCCTGGGCACTGGGCGTTACGAGAGTGATGTGAGGAACTCTGTGACATACACAAGCTTGAAGACCAAACTGTCTAATGTTATCAACAGTGCCACAGATACAGAAGGTCAGTCCGTCTATTTGCCTCCTTAAAACACTTTAACTTCCAGAGTTCAGTGTTTGGTAGCTTATGCTGATGCTGCCTACAAAAGAATATGTTATGTTTGTCTAGGGGGCTCAGGAAGCAGAGGGGAGCAAATCTTTTGTTGTTTTCATGTCTCCTCACTCATTCCTTCTAAGGGACCCCTGAACAGAGACTTTTCTTCCTCTATGCGCTAGTACTCCCGTGCCTAGGTGTACAGTTGGAAAAGTTTCTACAGCTGATCAGCACAAAGGTTCAGTTGGAGACTTAAAATATACATCAGGTCTTGTCTTTATCCTGCTCAGAGCCTCTAGGCTTCCCATCACATGTAGAACAAAATCATTCACTGAAATTTAGTAGGCCCTTTGAGACCTAGCCTTTGAATACATCTCCTCCCCCATTCCTCACACGTGTCCCCGCTACCAGGTGGCCCTCAGTCTGGTTCAGAAGTCTCTTGCCTTGGGCCCTCTGCGGTTGCTGTGCCCTCTCAGTGTGAGGTCTTCTTCCCTCAGGTTCATACTTGATTCACTCCGCTTTTTCATTCAGGCCTCTGCTCAGATGTCACTTTCTCAGAAAGACCTTTCCTGATTCCTTTCTGTCCCCCTCACTACGTCATTCTACCCTCTTACCCTGCTTCTTCCTCTTTTTTTTTTTTTTTTTTTTTTTTTTTTTTTTTAGAGCAGTTCTCTCACCACATGGCTATGTATCACACATTGGCTTGTTTCGTTTCTTACTCTCTCTATTCCACGAGAATGTAAGGTGGGAGGCTGTCCAGTTACCTGTGTTGACTGTGCTGCCTGCACATAGTACGCAGTCAATGAGTATTTATCCAATTTCTAGTTTTGGCCTTGAAGTCTAGACTGCTTATTTTGTTACTTTAAGTCTTATGTGAAATCTGTTACTCTGTTCTTAAGAAGAATTGTTACCACTTACCAACCCCTTGCTTCTGAATCTCATTCTTTTCATATCATTGTGTTACTAGCCTAGTCTTTAGTCCACATGAGAGTCTTAAACTCCCCACTGAGGACTTTTATCTAGTAAGTGACAACCCAAAAGAAGCTTGTATACTGGATTTTTCACTATCTGAAGTTTTGTTGTCAAAATCAACAAAGTACTCTTTTTTCTTTCTTATTTTTCCATCACATTTTTATTTTATTAGATCACAGCACAAATGCATTTGACTTAAACTAGAATACTAAACTTCTGAATGTCTGCCGTGAAGTAAATGCCTATGGCATCATAAAACAGTTTTCTTAAAGATGATGTGACATTGATTCTGTGATACATGAGGCATATTTTTATGTACATGCAAATGAATAGTTAAAATTGAGTAGTGTTTCATCTGTGACTTAAAAAGAGGAAAAGAGGGCCACCTGGGTGGTTCAGTCAGTTAATCATTTGACTCTTGATTTCAGCTCAGGTCATGATCTCAGGGTCATGATACTGAGCCCACCGAACAAGGAGCCTGCTTTAAGATTCTCTCTCCCTCTGCCTCTTCCCCACTTGTTCATGCTCTCTCTCTCTCTTAAAAAAAAAAAAAATTGTAAAAGAAAATTTCTTACTATTTTTCATTAAACTGTGGAATTAACACCATCGTTACCAGGAAGCATATTTCTAGGGGCAGCTGGATGGCTCCCAGTCAATTCTGGAGCCCTAGGATCGAGCCCTGCATTGGGCTCCCTGCTCAGCGAGGGAGTCTGCTTCTCCTTCTGCCCCTCACCCTGCTCATGCTCTCTCTCTCAAGTAAATAAATAAAATCTTTTCAAAAGTTTTTTTGAAAAGCATATTTCTAGATCTGTACAGTATTCTTACTTTAAGCAATCTGCTGAGAAAAAGAAAGCTTTAATCAGCCAGTCTCAAAATGCTTGTATGTCTCTGCTGCACATCATCTGATGGGCTAATTTAAAATTTTTCAAGAAACAAGTAATGCTGTTTCCATAACTTAACACCCTTCTTAATGAAGAACTTGAGTGAAACACATGCAATTGCTGATACTAGATGGTTGTTGACCCATAAAAACTGTAATTTCATTTAGCTCGATCTGATGCATTATCGGTTGCTAAATAAATGGTGAAGAGTTGCAGATTATTAAGATTATGAATTAAGAGGAGGAATAAGAAAATGAAACTAGGTTATTGTAAATAGACTAGGGGCACCTGGGTGACTCAGTCGGTTAAGCATCTGCCTTCAGCTCAGGTCATGATCCCAGGGTCCTAGGATCAAGCCCTGGGTTGGGCTCCCTGCTGAGCAGGGAGCCTTCTCCTTCTCCTCTGCCTGCTGCTCCCCTTGCTTGTGCTCTCCCCCTCTTTTTTTCTGTCAAGTGTACAAAAATCTTAAAAACAAAACAAAACACCAAAGTAGACTTGATATAGGTCTTAAAGGATAATAGGGTTTAGAGATTTTAAAAGAGGGTTAAGACTGCTACTTCTGACCTTGATAAAATAATAGAGGCCATATATCTCTCCCACCTGAAACCATTAGCAAACAATAGAACAGTGGCTTTCAGCCATTAGATGAGGTTCCATGGGTTCGTGATCTCTGCGAGAAGGAAAATAAATGAAGTAATCCCTGCAATTGCCCTGCTTGCTACCTGAAAAAAAGGTTTCTAGGTGATAGCAAAGAAGGGGTGGACCCAAAAAAAGCGGATAGGATACAGAGTTGGAGTTCATGGAGGCCCAGGAAACTCAAATTTATGGGCAAAATACTACAGAGGAGGCAGCTTCACAGAGAGAGTGCTCCAAAGATATGCAGGGGAGTCCCCTGGAGTACTGATATGTACATGCATGTGAGGAAGCTCCCCAAAGCAGGGCCAAGAACCACCAGGAAGAATTAGACACAGCTCTTCTTGGAGCTCACACAGGAGCCAAAGTAGCTCAGGTTTTTATCAAGTAGGTTACAAGGACCTGGTAATACACGAGATGTGCAGAGGAGTTCTCAAAAAGAGTATTGTCTCAGTGGCAGCATCAGATTAGTTCCAGAGTGAGGGCTGCTTAGGATCCACTCTCACACTGCTTAAAAGCAGCCCTCAAATAGATGGAATTGAATCCAGTTAACAGCATCCATTGTTAGAATAAAGTCAAGATTATAAGGGATACAGCAAATTCCAGCACAGAAAAAAAACAAAAATTCACAATGTTTGGTGTCCAGTACAAAATGACCAGGCATACAAAGAAGCAAGAAAAGACACCCTTCACCAGGAGAAAACCCAGTCAGTGGGAACAGACCTAGCTATGAAACAGATGATAGGCAATTAGCAAAGGTCTTACAGTAACTATTAAAAACATACTTTGCATGTTTACTGGGCTGGAGGAAGACTGGAATATGATAAGGAGAGAAATGAATGATACGAGAGGCCCAAATCAAACTTCTAGAGGTAAAAAATACACTGTTTGAAATGGAAAATACAGCTGATAAGATTAACAGCAATTCTTCATAAAAACTTGCAGAAAATAGAAGGGTAAATACGTCCCCGGTCATTCTATCAGGCCAGTATTACCCTGACACCAGAACCAGAGGAGAAAAAAAAATTATAAAAATAGCAATTCCCTATTAGTCTCCCCATGCTGAAATCCTTAAAATATACTAATAAATTGAATTCAGCAATCTATTAAAAGGAGAACAGAGTATAACCAAGTAGGATTCATCCCAAGAATACAGGATTGGTTTAATGTACTAAAAATTAATGAAATTTACATGTTAATTTAAGACAAGAAATGAAAATTTTGTGACATCAATAGATGAAGAAAAAGACATCTGACAGATGAAAACTCATAGTAAGTTAGGAACAGAAGGGACTTCCTTAGCCCAACAGAGGGCATCTATTCAAACAAACAAACAAAACTCCTAGAGCTGGCATCATATTTGATGATGAAAGACGGAAAACTTTCTGTGTTAAGATCAGAAGCAGAGTAATATGTGTCTCATCATTTCCAGTCAGCATTGTTCTAGAGATTCTTTCCAGTATATCCAGTATAGGAAATAAAAGGCAGCTAGATTAGAAGGGAAGTAAATATTTATAGATAACACCATTGTCTATGTTGACAATCTATTAAAAGGCTCCTAGAACTAACAAGTGAGTTCAACAAAGTTGGAGAATACAGAGTCAGTAAAACTCAATTGTATTTCTGAATACTAGCAGTTGGAAATTAAAATTAAATATATACAAAGATAAATATTATTTATAATAGCACAAGAATGTTAAACACTTGAAGGAATTACTTGTTTTAAAGTATATGCAAGACCCGAACAGTAAAAACTGCAAAACATTCCTGGAAGAAATTAAAGAAGTTCTGAATAAATCAGTAGATATACCATGCTCATGAATTGGAAATCTAGTGGTGTTTTAGTGGCACACCGCAAATTGACCTGTATACACCATGGAATTGCTGTAAAAATCCAGATAGCCTTTTTCTGGGGGTAGAGATTTAACAAGATGACTGTAAAGTTTATATGGATATGCAAAGGACCTGTAAGAACCAAAACAATTTTGAAAAAGAACAAAATTAGAGGATTTACACTTTCTAATCTCGAGACTATAAAACTGCTGTAAGCAAAGGACTGTGGTATTTGCATAAAGATAGACCTATAGATCAGTGCTGCCTAATAGTACAGAAATTGATCCATACATGTAATCTCAAAAGATTTTTGACAAGGTAATTCAGTGGGAAGGGATAGTCTTTCCAACCAATAGTACAGGGACAATGAAGTAACCATATTCAAAAAGTGAGCCTTGACCCTTCACACCATATACAAAAATTAATCTGAAATGGATCATAGACTTAAAGAGTTAAAACTGTTAAACTTCCAGAAGAATACCCTGAGAAAATATTAATGACTTGGGTTAGGTAAAGATTTTTTAGATAGAACACAAAAAGCATGAACCAAAAAAGAAAAAATAGATAAATTAGACTTTACCAGGGTACAGATTTTGCTCTTCAGAAGACAGTTTTAGTGAAATGAAAAGCCATAGGCCGAAATAAAATACTAGCAAAACGTATCTGACCTATTACCAGAACCAAATATATAAGCAGATCCAAACCATATAGAGAATTCCCACAATATTTATATAAGAAATACATAAATTCAGGGGCACCTGAGTGGCTCAGTGGGTTAAGGCCTCCAGGCTCAGGTCATGATCTTGGGGTCCGGGGCTCGAGCCCCGCATCGGGCTCTGTGCTCAGCAGGGATCCTGCTTCCCCCTCTCTCTCTGCCTGCCTCTCTGCCTACTTGTGATCTCTGTCTGTCAAATAAATAAATAGAATCTTAAATAAATAAATTCACTAAAAAATGGGCAAAATATTTGAACAGATACTTCATTGAAGAAGATATGCAGATGACTAAAAGGTACATAAAAGACTTCACACCATTAATCATTAGAAATGAAAAGTAAAACTACAAGGTAAAAAGTAAAACTACACATCCTCTAGAATGGCTAAAATTAAGGCTGACAATACTGTTTTGACAAAGATGTAGAACAGTGGGACTCTGATATATTAATGGTTGGAATGCAGAATGGTACAGCCATCTGGAAAACAATGTTACAGTTCTTCAGAAGATCAACATGTAACATTGTGTGCCTGCTATACTTCAGTTAAAAAAGATAAACATGCTTTTACCATATGACCCAGCAGTCTCATTGCAAAGTATTCTCTCAAGAGAAGTAGAATCTGTTATCCACAGGAAGACTTCATGTAAATGCTTACAGCAGAATTACTCCTACTAGCTAAAAACTGAAGAGAACCAGAACTGGAAAGAACAAATTGTGATGTGTCTGTGCAGTGGAATTCTACCCACCAATTAAAAGGGAAGGAGCTGATACATACTGTGACAGGGGTGGATTTCAAAAGAATATTGCTAAGTAAAAGAAGCTAGTCCCAGAAGAGCTAGCTATATACTTCTGATTCTGTTTATATGAAATTCTAGAAAAGGCAAAGAGTAAGAAGAGGAAGAAGTGCAAAAAGGCATGAAGGAACTTTTTTGGGGTGATAGAAATGTTCTGTCATAACTGGTGTGATTACACAAAGATACACATTTCTCAGAACTTCTCAAATTATACACTTTAGATTGGTGAATTTTGTATGCAAATTATACCTCAGTAAAGACGATACCAAAAATCATAAAACAGTAAAAGGAAAGTTGTAAAGGCATTTCAGCAGTGGCTAACAGTATGACCAGAAACGGAGAAAAGAGAACAGAGGAGCTAGTAATCTAATTAGCAGAGTTACATGAATGATCCTGGGAGATGAATTTCATTTTGTAGTTACAGTCATTAGTATGGAATCCTTGGACCGACTGTTAATTGGCTGGCATGATGAAATAAAGCTTTGTAATTTGCCCTCAAAGAAGATAATTTTAAATAAGGATAAAATTAGATCATTGCAGAATAAATCAATTTTCTTAACTACCCTGTTCTCTCTCTCTTTGTTTCAACAGAAGTTCATGTAATGCTTGATGGTCTGTTACCTCCTGACACCTATTTTAGATTTAATCCTGTGATGTGTGAAAACATACCTCTGGATGAAAGCCGAAATGAAAAGCTCAATCAGCTGCAGCTGGAAGGGTTGAAGTACATAGAAAGAAATGAAGAAAAAATGAAAAAACTTGCAAAAATACTAACTCAAGAAAAAACAACTCTGCAGAAAATTAATGATTGGATAAAACTAAAAACTGACATGTATGAAGGCCTTCCATTCTTTTCAAAATTGTGATAAGGGTATGTATATATTTTCATAAGCGAGGGCCTGATCAGATCAATAAGTTCCGTAAGGAATTGACGGGATTCAGCATGAGTTGACTTAGAAGTACTAGCAAATCCTGGAACAGTACGTGCTTGGACCAGCTTGCATGGTACAGAGGGCATGCTGGGTTTCAGAATTCATATGGGAATTAGGTTTTTATGATGTGAATGACAGTGCTCTAGGAGTCTTTATTATTGTGCTAGTTGGTTTTAGTAAATACTGCTGTTCTATTGTTTGATATTTGAGAATTCATTAATATATGTGCCAAACAAGAACTATCATCGTCCTATACTCGGTATTTTTGCTTCAGTCACCATAATCATGTGGAATATATTTGATACTGATTTACTGCCATGGGGAAAATCTAATTTCTTCTTAAATTTCCATCACTTACATTTTCACAAGGTATAGTCTAGGATCCAAATGTTGACTTTTACTGGATTATCATATAAACAGATACATAAAAATAGAATTTTCTGTGTCAGAGGGCTTTTACATTTGAAATATGAAGGAATCAGATAAAGTTCTGTTCAAAATACGTTCATTTCAGTCAACATCAGTTGGTTCACAAAGATAGGTGAAGCTCCAGTCAACCACTTTTCCCTCTGAAATTTCAAGATAATTCTGGGTGTTAACTTTTCTAGCTCTAGCTTATCATTCACTGTTAAAAAATTAATTATTTGAATTTACTGAGAAGATATCTCTATCATTAACAAAAATAAACTATTGAAATAATATACTGTTAAAAGGCTAATGTCGTTTTTTAAAAGTTTTTTTTTACTGTTCATACGAAATGTAGCTTCCTATCTCATAAGCATTTGAATATACCTGCCAACAGTGTGCTTAGAAAAATAAGTTTTGTTTCATCTGATTAACTTCTTTAACCAGTTTGGATTTCATGGAGGTTGTATATATGCCAACCCAGATCATGGTTTATGCCAACCACATTCATCTTTGCTTTGTTACCTATCTGCTGTGTAAATCCTTACATCACGTGTAGATTTGTCAAGGAAAAGGAGAAAAGGTAAATGCCTTTTGTTTTGTACATACCAGCTAAAGCTAAACCCAAACCCCACTGCTGGATGATTCCATTGCTTCTTCAGAACGTGAATTCATAGAGGCTGTGAGGCATGGTTCAGAGCGCTGGGGGGAGCTAAGAGTCTGGATGCCAATCTGACCTCTGATGCAAAGTCCTCTATGTGACCAGGAGAGCGACAGCCTCTCTGGGCTTTGGGTATTTCGTTTATAAAATGAGAAAAGCTAGCTTGAAAATGTTATTTACTCTTTTATGACAATCCAGATTCTGCCGATGTACAAGCACAAGATTGGAAGAGATGTGAAAATGAGTGTTTAGTCTACCAGTGTTAAACTGGTAGAATATCTACTCTTTTCAAAGAAGCAAAGAGGGAAAAACGTCTGTTTCAGAAATGTAGTAAATTCTCCCAACTCATCAGTTATATAAAAAAATGGAATAAAAATTGTTTTGATGCTCAGGCCTTTTGGAGTGTCTGAAAATTCTTACTTCTGTGATAAAGGGTATGCTGGCCATGTTTCAGTTCTCTTCTCGCCGCAGATAGTATTCTTTATTAAAAATAGTACCTGCGATAGAGTTGTCCCTAGAGGCATATGGGCTGCATGGGATTTCCCCCAGAGCGGGGAGAAAACACGGCCTGGGCTAAAATTACCCTATGAGCCTTTTCTCCTCCCACACACCTTGTACCCAAGAGAAAGATGTCAGAGGAATCTTCTGAGAGGGAAGAAAGTCACAAAAAGCTTGCAGTCTGAGGGGAGGGAGGGAGATCTCACAACTTTGTTTCAGTGATGGGGTAGATGGGTTCCCTCGGAGCTTCCCCGTTAGCTGCTACCAACAGTTGCCTCCGCTTTCCCCTTCCAGGGAGTGGCTGATACTGAAGCAGCCAGGATCCTAAAAGTTTTTACCAAACCTGCTGTGCTTTAGAAATAATTCTAGGCACAGTGTTGAATATTAACAAGTGTCAGTGCTAATGATGTGACTAAGAGTAATGACTAAAAATACAGGTCTGTAAACTCCAAATGACATGGTTTTGACATAATGTAAGTAAATATGAAAATACCAGTGGTTTCTAAAGATACTGTCAAATAGTCCACAAATATTGCATATTTTTATGCAACTAGAACTGCCTGTTAGAAAAGTACAAATAATTGGCAGTCAGAATGAGTACCCAGAAGTATTTTGCTTGTGATAAACCATTTCAAGCACAATAAAAGTAGTGTGTAGTTACCATATCGGCACCTGTCACAAGGTCAGTCTTCCCTAACGTGCTGCAGCTCCTCCGTTCCACCGCAAAGTTAACTCTCTGTCCTTGTTCTCACTTGGCTGATCATTTCCTTCTGAACAGTGCAGAATTGACCAGTGTACTCTGGCCACTGCTGCTCTCCTAAAGTACATGGCATGGCACTTGAGTATGGCCCCATGTCCCCGTCCCTGTTCCATCAGCTCTTTCCGCTGTCAAAGGGTGAACCCAGAACACCCAGCTCAATGGTGTACCAGTGTTCAGTTATTCTTGTCCCCATTTTTACTTGAACCTCATTATCTGAAGAACTGTGTAATTCACCTGGAATAACCGTCGTTTTATAATGAAACCAGTACTTTCCATGCTCCAAAAGCAAAGTGGATTTCTTTCCAGAACAGAAGCAAAGAACACTTCTGAAAGATGAGCGCTTGCTACGAAGTAGGTAATGGATTCTTCATTGCACTCTTCTTAAAGTAGGGTAAGTTCTTTATGAGAGAAAATTCTTGAAGATAGATAAATGACCTCTTTAGTTTCCTTCAAACCCTATAATTCTGTAGTAGTTTATAAAAGTAAACTGGTCAAATAAGATACACGAAATAAAAAGGGTATTTTTTTCTTCTTTGTTCATTGTATAAGATTTAACTGATGTCTTTAGCAAACAGTTTATGCTTCTTGATAAACTTTTATATTTAAAACAGCTAGTTTTCATTCATGCCAATAGATTTTTTCCTTTGTAACCATTTTATATATTTAAAATATGTTAATATGTGCCTTGAAAATGGATTGATTTTTTAAAATCGGATTGAAGCACCAACATTTATCCAGTATCAATAATTTTATTACAACTAACTTCGACAAAGTTGATTTAATTGTGGTTCTGTTTTTACATTTAGGGAAATTTCAAAGCTGTGGAATTAGAGAAACATAGATGTGTTTTGTTCAGTATTTTCACACCTATAGAGGAAACTTAAATACTGAATGTTTTTATGATTGCTAATAGCTAATACCTAGGAGTTATATACTAACCACTACAATGAAAGCTCTATGTTCGTCATCTCAGTAGGCTTCATTCTATGCCTGTGAATCCTTATACTATCCTTGGACTACTATTATTCCTGTTTTCCACCTAAGGAAATCAAGGCATTTAGAAAGTTAAATAACGAAATAAAAAAGAAAATTATAAATATTTTTAAGTTTTTCTTTTTACTCTCCCAGTTATCCAGGGACAAAAGTTATCCATTATACAGACATATATTGACTGCCATCTTTATTCCACGATGGATTTCACCCTTTACATCACCCGTATTTGAAGATCAATTCTTATTTTACTTGCTGTGTCTCTTTTCCCTTTATTTTTTACAGTGTGTTGAAGTATAATTTTCATACCAGAAGTCACCCGTTGTAACTGTACAATCCAATAACTTTTAGTAGGTTTATACTAGTTATGTAACCATCACCATACTCCAATTCTAGGGCAGTTCCATCATTCCCCCCTCCCCCGAAAGTTTCCTCATGCTTGTTTATAGTCATTCCCTGCTTCTGTCCCCAGCCCCAGACAACTACTTATCTGCCAGTTGAGAGTTACCATTTCTACATATTACATACACCTGGAATCGAGCAGCAGTGATCTTTTGACTCTGGCTTCTCTCACTTCTCCTGTTTCTGAGATTTGTCCAGGTTGTGGCACATGTCAGTCGTTGGCTCCTCCTCACTGTTGAGTGGTAGTCCATTGTATGGACATACCACATTTGTTCATCCCTTCACAAGCTGATGACCATAGGAGCTGTCTTCAGTATTTACCTGTGATGAGTAATGCTCCTCTGAAATTCACAGACAAACCTCCCTGAAGACATACATTGTCATTTTTCACGAACAAGTATCCGGAAATGTAACTGCTGCTGTTGTATGGTAAGTGTGTTTAACTTCTCAGGAAACAGCCAAGCCGTTCTCCAGAATGTCTGGACCACTTTACATCCGCCATCAGCACTGCAGGAGAGTTCAGTTTCTCCATGCGTTTACCAGACCTGGGTGTTGTCTGTCTGTCTGATGACCACCATCCTAGGGGATCGGTGGTGCTATTCCACGGCGGTTTTAATGGGCAGTCTTCTAATGACTGTGGATGGTGAGCATCTTACAGGTGCCTACAAGCTATTTGAAGACGTTCTTTGGTTAAAATGTTCAAATCTTTTGCCCATTTTTCTTTTGATTTATTTGCCGCCTCTTAGGGAATTGTAAGAATACTCTGTGTGTGTGTGTGTGTGTGTGTGTGTGTAGGGGCATCCAGTTGTCCCAACATCATTTTTTGAAAAAAAAAAAAAAAAATCCCCTCACCACTGAATTGCAAATGTACGTTTGTCAGAAATCTGTTGTCTTACATTCATGAGTCTGCTTCTGGACTCCACGCGGTTCCATTAATCTGTGTGCTGTTCCTGTACCGGTACCTCACAGTTCTTATTACCATAGACATATAACAAGTTTTGAAGGCGGAGTATAATTCTAACAATTTGTTCTTTTTGAAAATTATTTTGGCACTTTTGGTTCCTTTGCATTTCCTTATAAATTTTACAGTCAGCTTGTTTATACACACACACACACACACAAGAATGTGATAAGGACTACATTGACTATATAAAGTTGAGAGAACTGACATTTTACTATTGAGTCTTTGAGTGGTATCGGTCCTTGAAGGCATATGATGAACATGAACTCTCTCTGTTTATTTGGATATTCAAAACA